CACCCTCGACGCGTTCTTTCACGCCGACTTCTCTTCCCCGCGGTTCGTTGCCGCTGTCGCCGGCATATCCGTCAAGATGGGTGCTCTTTACTACGCTTTCCACCCAAACCAATTGCGGTCCATCATCCAATGGTACGGCGTCCCCCTGCCCCCTCTGTGCCCACGTGCTCGACTCGTTCTGACTATTTCCATAGGAAGATGTGGCACGATCCCGTTCACAGGCGAACGCCCGAGAAGGAGAGCCCCGAACTGCGAAAGTGCTTCGAGCTGCTCGACTTGACGAGCCGTAGCTTTTCGTCCGTCATTCAGGAGCTCAACCCGGAGCTCCTCGTCCCTGTCTGCCTGTTCTATCTCTGCCTCCGCGGTCTCGACACGATTGAGGATGACATGACGCTCTCTGTCGAGAAGAAGGTGCCGCTTCTGAGGAAATTCGATGAGTGCATGGAGACGGATGGCTGGACGTTCACCGAGAGCGGCCCCCAACGAAAAGGACCGCGAGCTCCTGGTCCACTTCGATGTCGTGATCACCGAGCTCAAGAAGCTCAAGCCCGTCTACTACGATGTCATCAAGGACATCACCATCAAGATGGGCAACGGCATGGCCGACTACATCAACGCCCCCTTCGGCGTCGAGAAGATCACCGAGTACGAGCTGTACTGCCACTACGTTGCCGGTCTTGTTGGCGAGGGCCTCACCAAGCTCTTCGTCCGGGGCAACCTTGCAAACCCCCGCCTCGAGGAGAGGCCGGAGCTGACCGAGTCGATGGGTCAGTTTCTGCAGAAGACCAACATCATCCGTGATGTCCACGAAGACTTCGAGGACAACCGCAGCTTCTGGCCCAAGGAGATCTGGAGCAAGCACGTCAACACGTGGGAGGATCTCTTCAAGCCCGAGAACCGCGAAAAGGCAATGCAGTGCAGCTCCGAGATGGTTCTCAATGCGCTCAAGCACGCCGAGGACTGCCTTTTCTACATGGCCGGCATGCGCGACCAGAGCTGCTTCAACTTTGTCGCCATTCCCCAGAGCATGGCCATTGCCAATCTCGAGCTTGTCTTCCGCAACCCCCGCCTCTTCGACAGCCACCTTAAGATCTCCAAGGGTGATGCTTGCCAGCTCATGATTGAGTCGACGCAGAACCTATTCGTCGTGTGCGACATCTTCAAGCGTTACGTCCGGAGGATACACAAGAAGAACGACCCCCGCGACCCCAACTATGTCCCCATCAGTGTGCAGTGTGCCAAGGTATGTGTCTGCTGCCCTACCCAGCCAGGATCTCCCTGCTAACAGATTTGCCAGATCGAGCAGTTCATCGACACTCTGTACCCGAGGCAAGACCCTGACAAGCTCACCGTGGAGCAGAAGAAGAAGGACGCCAAGGATCCCAGCATGGACCCTGGCGAGGCAGCCGTTCTTCTCGGCATCACGCTGCTGACGCTCCTCTTTGTCTCTGGTCTCATGGTATGTCGACAAATGTTCCCTCGCCTGTCCAGTACTCTCGACTAATAATTCCACAGATTGGCACGGCGTGGTTCTTCGGCGCACGCTTCGATGGTCTCTGGTCTGGACTCTTCGGCTCGTCACAAAACGAGACGTACAGCTGGCCTACCGGCGGCGAGGCTGTTCCCTCGGCAGTGCCTTCGATCGAGCATCCCGAGCTGTAACGTGGCAGGGAACAAAACAATTTGCGCTTCTGTTCTTCGACATGGTACATATGACGGCGTTGACGGTTTGCTGCCCCCTTTTTTTGCTGCGATGAACTCATGTCACACCTACCCCGAAAAGGCAGAGACGAACTGGACTGGACTGCCTGACTTACGTATTTAATACCACCCCCGCCACAGCATTGCGTGGTGGCTCGTTCTCGACCCCGCGATGTCGCGGACCACCCTGACCAAGCCTCCCTTTTTGTCTCAGTACACGCCGCCGTGACAGTGACCGGGTATTCAATCTCGCGAGAGCGAGACGGAATGTGAGGACGGTGAGAAACAAGAACAAGGCTGCGGCCGTAGCACGGATGTCAAATTACAATCCAGTCCCACCTCCGGGTGGCCATGACTGTGGTTGCGCCGAAGAAGTGCTGATAGTAAACCCCACCGGCAAAGACCTCGTCCTCTTCAGGGCGAGTACGGGGCAGGCGGATCTTTATCTCGATGGAAATCCGCCCTTTTGCTCCGGCTTGCAAACATATCTCTGATGCAGTACAGTGCAATTGACTCGCGTGGTGCATGCAGGATGAGATCGTATCGTAGATTGGGGGAAAGGGGGACTGACCATGTCGCCGGAACTTAGGATTAGCTTGATAGATTGCCAATCGACGCTATGCAAGCCCCAAACTCTATTATATCCTCGCCTTCACTACACTCGATCGCTTTTCCTCATGTCACGCAGGCCAAGGCTGGCCTCGCTCGTCTCGTGACCTCGTTCCAGCGATGGTACCGTGTATGCCGCTGACAAGCCAAGCTCAGGCAGCCGAGGCGCGGCGGGCCCCCTTGCGCACGGCGGCGCCGCGCCTGAGACGCAGGACGTCTCGGCCTCGGCGTTGCATCGGGGGCGTATGGCAGCGGCCGAAACGGCAACGCGTGCCTCCCCCTCACCCTTTCCTCCTCTTTCTGCCGACCACGACAAGGGCTTTGCCGCAGGGCCCCCCGGGAGCGAGGCGTTTTAAGCATGAAGGTGCACGAGATGGATCTGAGACGCGGATCTCTGGTGATCGGCTGTTTGTTTACGGAGTGTTTTTTTTTTCTTTTGTGGTTTGCGTGGCCAGTTCCCTTCTTTTGCTCTTCACCCTGGAGCCATGCGTCGATCATGAGGATGGAGAAGGGGGGGGGGGGAGGCTCGATATAGAGTGATTTGCAATGCGGGCGGGTTTCGCGACCGGAGGCGGGGGACAGAAAATGATGGGCGTAGTATGTACATTTGTCAGTCTGTCTGTTCATCAGTCTGGCGGGGAAGCGCTCTTGCTAGGAAACGAGCTTTGCATAATGGTTAAGAGTCGTGGCCCCGTTCTCGTGGTCAGACTGGAACAGCAAGTCAGCCCATTCTTGTATTACCGGTCCGTTGAGCTTGTTTGGTAGGCAAGAGTCAGTCAGCATGCAGCATAGCATGTCGGTTCACGCATTTCGAGACCAAAGTCCGAGCGAACAACGGTGTGGAATAGTCGATTCAGTCATGTTCGTCTATTTTCGCTATGCAACGCAACTATATTGGTTTTTCTTTGTCGTTTCCTACCGCCCGCTCATATCCAATCCCACTTTCCGTGAACCCGTGACGATGACTCCATTGATGAGAGTAGACAAGGAAAAATCATAAAGTGAAAATAATCTTGTCAATTAGATACAGGTCAAGATAAAATGCAGATACAATTTTTTGGTTTTCTGGTCAAATCTTTTGTCCGACGTAAGGCTTCTGGAAAAAGCATTCATCTTCTTAGATTAGTCATGGTGATATTGTCAATACGCCGCGCTTTCTAAAATGTATGAAAACCAAAACTCAAAAGGATACGCCAAGACAACGGCCTACGGCCCGTACCCCAGCTCGTCCCGCCAGGGCAACCCCTCCCTCGAAGCAGCGCAGCCGGCTTGGCGACACTAGAGCTGGCCGTTGTTGGCAATGAGGTTGGTGGTACCGGGGGTGTTTCCGCGGACCTGAGCGCCCGAGGCGGTGGCGAGCTCGGTGAGACGTGAGGCGACGGCCTCGGGGGTGTTGATGTTCTCGAGAGCGATCAGGTAAGCGGCGAGGCCGGCGACGTGGGGCGAGGCCATGGAGGTGCCGGACAGGGTGTCGGTGGCCGTGTTGGATGTGATGCCGACAGAGAGGACGTCGACGCCGGGGGCGAAGATGTCGACATCGGCGCCAAAGTTGGAGAAAGAGGCCTTCTGGTCGTTGGAGGCGTCAATAGCACCAACCGTGATGGCCTGGGGCGCTGAGGCAGGCGACGTGTTGGCAGCGTCCTGGTTCTCGTTACCGGCAGCCACGACGGGGACGACACCGGCGTCGAAGAGGGCCTGCACAGCGCGGTTAACGGCCGCCGACTGAGGGCCGCCGAGAGACATGTTCATGACGGCCTTGCCGCGGAGGTTCTTCTGCTGGACGTCGTTGATGACTGTTTGGTCAGCGCCTGGTGTATGCTATCTGGGGGAGAGGACAGAGGTAGGGAACGTACTGAATTGCAGGCCGTCGAGAACACCGGCGTTGGAGCCGGCACCAGTGCCGTCGAGAACCTTGACGGCGACAACATTGGCAGACTTAGCGACACCGAAGGTCTGGCCGCAAATGGTACCAGCAACGTGGCTGCGCGTGACCGTTCTGGTCGTTATCCTGAGACTCATCAGGTGGG